AGGGAACGAGGGAGTCGGACTCCTGTCGGAGATTCGATCTCCGCTGGGAACGTCGATTCCCGACGTCGCGGCGGAATGTCATCGAAAGATGACACATCATTTTATTTATTTTATTTTTTTTTGAGTTTTATGGCTTGGGAAGGGGGTAGGAGAGCAAGGCGAGGAATCGCCTTTACAGTTTTTTTTTTAAAAAGGGCATTTTCCACTAGAACTTTAAAGCTTTAACACTGCGATAGTCATACTGACGAGGTCCTGTTGTAGTGTTAAGACGTATATGATTTAATGGACCGAAATGTCTTATCTCATTCCTGCCTTCTTTCCTCATTCATTCCTGCTTTCTGTATCCAATCGTGCCTTCAATACTTCGGCATCCAAAGTCAACCTTGATGCTACAATCGGCTTACAGCCTATCAGTTTGACAGCTCAGGTACGTTCTACTTTATAACAATTTGCACAAGGCACATTCTTTCATGTAGTACCACTCGCTGAATTATCCACGCTTTTACGATCTACCGATGAAATCTCGTCATAATAGCTGTTGCAAAACCCGTTGATCACAATTTCTCATTCGCGCTACACGAATCTACCATCCGAAAATATCGGGGCGGCTTTTGACAGTGCTACGCCTTCGGTTGGAAATTCGCCATCGAAAGGATTTTTTGGTGGCAAAGCGTTTGGTAATCGAGAGAGCTGTTCCAAAGTGCGACCCTGATTGGAATGCTCATACAAAAACACTCCAGGATACCTGAAACAACAAAGCAGTAATCAATTTAAGGCAAAATACATCTTGACAGTAATTTCGGCAGTTAAAGAAACCTCTGATATTTCCAACTGCTGCTTCATTCACAGAAGGGCTTTTGTGGGAGCGACGAGGGTGGGGGAGAGTGGGGCTGCAGCACTGCTACTTGGAGCTGCCCCCTCCCCCTCTCCACCCCAGAACTTCCCAAAAACTACGAATAGAGTGGTAACAATGCTACTTAGAGTTATTTTAGCTTTATTTATGAGCAGACCCGGGCTTTTGCTGCCTTTACCGTTGGGAAGGGCCGGAGGGAGGGAGGAAAGTGAGGGCGGAGGGGAGGGAAGAATGGGGGAGGAGTGGACGAAAAATCCTTCGCTCCCCCGGATCCGCTTCTGGCTTCATCACTATGATCTTTTTCGCCACTACCGTAGGTAACAACTCCATTCCTCTCGGTTCTGAGCTCAGCGATTCCAAATACCTGCATACAGATTTTACAAAAAAACCCTTCTAAACCACTACCGATTTCACCATGTTCGTTGAAAATTTGCCTTGAAGATGACAAAAGACCAAAGAAAAACAACAAACAGAGACAAAGCTTTTATACATACTTCCGACAATGCTCCTCGTATACATAGCAAATATCAGCGAATTGCTCGACGCCAAGCCGAATTGAGGTGGTTGTTGGATCAATTCGACACCGAGACAGCACATCATCGGCCAGCGTTATGGCGAGCTCCTTCGGATACAGACTTCGAACGCCTTTGACGACGTATTTTTGCCTATAGTTAAAAATGCGTCGGCAGACTTTTTCAACAACCTAAAATTGATATTATTTTTACTAGAAGTATGCTGATTAGGCGTTATGAAAGTTTTCTTTTTTCAAAGAAAAAACACATATAAAAGACCCAGGTTCTAGATCAAAGGTACTGTGATGATTAGGTTATGTGTTTCATCCCTTAGCTGTAAACACTGTATGAGGATGGGGTCATCGGAGTACAGATCTAATAACAGCGGAGAAATTGATTCTGAGGATAATATGACTCATTTAATAATATATGCTTCCGATAAAACTTGACCTCAAATGAAGTTTTAATCAGAGGATCTCTGCGCGGTACAAATCGAACAATACCGACATCAATTTTAGGTCGAGGAACAAAGCATCGTCCTGAAATATCATCAAAATGCAATTGTCCATAAAGGAAAAGCATACACAGAGATGCAGTTTCCAGAAACAGAAAAACGACCAAACATGGCTTTCCAAAAAAATTTGCAAAAATTTCGGCTTTCCAAAAAATTTGCAAAAATTTTTCACCTACAAAACTGCCTTCGCAAAAAAAAAAAACAAACTTCATGCCTGGTATTTTGAAAATTAGTTGGGGTTCGGTAAGAAACGATGACATAATTGAAATTCTGGCTCGAAATGGTGAATCAATGGGACCACAAAGTCGCTCGGCCACTTCCATTTGAAATGTTAGCAATAATGGTACACGACCAAATGACCATGGCCCTCGACGGTAAAGCATTTCACGCAGGAATCTGAAAAGGAAAAAATAGCACAAAGGAAGTAAGTTTTCACATTCCAGTAGTTAATTTTTGACTAAAATTTAAGGAAATATCGCAAAAACTAGCTATCAAAGTCCAAAATTTCAAAACAAGGCAAACAAGCCATGCAATCACCTCAGAAAAAAGCTACACAGACTTCTATATCCAACCACCTCAGAAACTTCAAGAATAAAAACGAATATCCATCAAAATGTCAAAAACTCGTCAAAAGTCGTTAAGGAAACTAGTTGTCAGAGATGTTACTAGGATGTTCCCACAACATGTCAGCTGCGTCAAAAGGAAATAACGTTTTAAAAAAACCATGCCAAGGAGCTTGATGAAAACAATCACTTAATGGACCGAAACATTTCTTACCATTATAATAATCTCACAAATTTTCTAATTTTCATTCCTTACCTTCCTTTCTCATTTTTCCCTTTATTTCATTCCTTCTTATTACAAGTTTCTATTCAAAACACCAAACCAGTGGCGAAAAAAAAAATCCGAAAAGACAAACTTTATGATCAATGGCGAGGCAATGTTGAACGGAAGATTGCCGATGACATGCATTTTTGGAATCTCATTATCCCATGGAACACGCTCAAGACCGGCTTCAGACCAAATACGACCAACGTCGGTTTTAAGGATATCGGCATGGTGTATGAACATACGATTTTCGCTTGCTTCCTTCAATACCTAAAAAAAAGGGAAAAAAATCAATTAAAAAAAGAATTACTTTTTTTACTAAATCATCAGAAATCAAAACCCTTTCCGTATTCACGCTCTACGAGGACACGTGACAACAGCAGTCACCCTTTTGCAAGGTTGTGAATGGCTCCCTCTTTCGACAGTTGTTTAAAAACAAACTGATGGCGAGTTTCACTCCCTGGCATACTTCAGCACCAATTTACCATTGAAACAAACAAAAATCTTTTCATATCTTCTTTTTATGCCAATTATCCCGAATACTTGAGCAAATGTTTGCCATCGGTTTTCTGTGTCCCGAAAGAATGCTAAAATCTTTAAATGCTCATGTTTTGAAAGCATAAATACTTTGCCTTTGCGCCATCAAAGCAGCTAGCATGATTGATGGCTGATGTGACCTAAACTGCTTCACCTGATGG